CTTTCCCGCCCCAAGGACGCTGCTAAGTGTATTGGGGCAAAACCATTTCCTTGCCGATGATTGCAGTCAGTGCTAGGGTCATCAACCAACTTCGCCGTGAGTGCCTCATGCCCTGTATATATCGCAAATTCGAGTTTCTTCGGGGATGATTGGTCTGTAAAATCGCTTCCCAAACGGGTGAGGTATGCATCAACGATGCCAACATGACCCGATTGGACAAAGTAGCGCCTCAGTTGCAGTTCAGAAACACGAAGCTCTTTTTGCGTCAGAGACCCCAGCAACAACTTGAACGTCTCTGTGCTATCACTTAAAATCGCCTCGTGAATTGGCAATCGATTGCTGTCATTCCTCACATCCACTCTTGCTCCAGCGTCAAGCAGATACTTGACTACCTCTATCTGGCCGGCTCTTGCAGCGCAATGCAGGACAGTGGATCCTTCATCGGCCTTCGTATCAATTGTCAGGCCTGCATCCAGGAAGACTCTCAGCCGGTTCAAGTCGCCCAAAGTGGCTACTTGCGTGAAGTTTGACGCACTATACAGCGGTGTAGTATTGAGGACTTCGGACCGCTGCTGCGAAGACTGCGAATCGTTGCTCATCTCGATGTGGCTGCTTAGGAGCGTGGAACTATGTCTGTTTCTTTGATGCCTTTTGAGGTTATCTTTGCGATTGGATGTGAATGAACAGCGCTCCACATGGCAACGATACTGTTCATTACCCGTGCGGTGTTGAGATCTGATGTGACGGCTGAGATCTACACGGAGTGCGAAGCCTTTGTCACAAGTTTCGCAGATGAAAGGCTTGGTGTGTGTTCTCTGATGCTTACTGCTGTGCATTAGCAGCGGCTGAGTAGACCAATGCACACTGACTAACTTCAATTTCCCCAGCGTATCCATTTTCTTGGAACAAGCAGAACACACAAATTTATCGAAGGTCATGTTGATGTTCGTAGCATGCCTGCCTGTACTAGGCTAATGATTTATATTTGCATCTACCTAGGTAGGTTTGAGGCTCTGGGCGCGCAGGCACTTTCGTGTCTGACATTCCAGATGAGGTTAGCAGCTCAGGCGCATTAGGCTCTCTCAGAGGGCGCGTAGGGCGCATGTCATTGGTTTCGCAGCCAGTCTCATGTGTCCTTTTAATCTACCGCTCCCCCCGACCTCGCGACCTCATCGAAAGCACATCCCCGAACATCAACTCATACCGTGCCACCTCGACATCCTGTACTCATCTGCCGATATCGTACCAAAACCCCTCATATTCTTTACGAAAGCTACACTCTCGAGACGGTCGGCAACCGCATTTCCACGATGTCGCAGCAGTTTTCTGGACCGGACCCTGAACCAGACTGCAACGACTCCCCAGCGTTTGTGGCAGGCCACAATGAAAACCACCAGGGACATGAGTAGGTCACTTTTTTTTTTAACATCATGCAGGTATGCCTCCCCAAGGACATTTCAATGCTGCATCGAGCTCCAAAGCGCCGTGCCCTTCTATCAGCCAATCGTGGATCACCACAACGCCCTCCTGTCCCAGGTAGTTGCACGGACCAACGGTAATCTTCCACTTGCGCAGCCAGATCATGATGCTGGTCCTCAGTACCCTGCTCAGTACCCTTGGCACACTGATGCTCGTACCGCTGGCGCTTTCGATGTATACCAACCTGGAAATTTCAACAATGACGCTGGATTCGGCGGCGACGCGTTCAACTTTCAATACGCTGCAGTTGATACGCAGCCCGCCTTCTCGACGGCCCCGATGGCATCTCTCTGGGACCCCAACAGCGTCCAGGAATTCGATCAGTCAAGCAGTTCCATCACACCTGGCGCTCAGCTGAACCCAGCGCCCTATCCAGCAATGGTCTCAGCCCCGCCAGTCCCGGTCCCTGCTCCAGCTGCTGCTCCTGCTCCTGCTGCAGCAGACCGCATCCGCTGTCCACATGGATGTTCAGCAACTTTCGGCCGCGGCGGAGAGTATCGTCGCCACATGATGATTCACGAGCCTGCCAGGTACAGATGCCCCATGGTCGATTGTCCCAGGACGTTCTCTCGCGCAGACAAGCTTCGCGATCATGCCAAGAGGGGTCACGGAGGTCGCAACCCTTTGAACCTCTAGTTGGTCTACGTCCCTAATTCTGGCCTTACGAAACGAATGTTTTCTCGAGTAACACCTATCGGTCTTTACTGCATTGTCGCTGTCTGTTGTACACTCGTTACTGTTGGCTTTTGTTTTTGTCTTTTACTCCCACTTAGATCACTCCTTAATAGTTGTAGTTAGTGAAATACAAGTCTTTCCTTAACCTGCCGTCCCCATACCCATCCCCATCCCCATCTCCATCGTGACAGCCTCTCCGCAACTCGATACTTCCACAGAGCCTCACCTGGCCCCCAAAGTGCCCAGACTCCGGTGAGCCGTGGCGGTGACACGTCAATAAGCCACATAAACGGAAGGGCGCAACTCGTCCAATCACGAACAGAAAGGCTGCAGATGCGATGGTCCTTCATGCGCAGTCTATCACGCGTGTTGTTGTGCGTCGAAGGGCACGCGCGTCCAATGACAGAGTGACGCGAAGTGGGGTCGATGCTGAGCTGGCGGGGCAAGGGGCACAGTGGCGTTGCTAGCGCGGGTTGGAAGGGCATGTGGCTGTTGGGTTGTGTGTCTCCCCATAGTTGTGGGTTGGATGTGCGTTGAATGCGCGCTGTAACTTCTGGTTTATGGATCGAGGCCGAGTGTGTATGAGAAGTGAACAAAGCGAAATGGCTTTCTCCACTGATCCATGAAAGCTGCACATCTTGGCCATCGATGAGAACAAGCAAGTTGGCCCATCGATTGACCCTTGCAACTACTCTAGTTTGGGTGCTAGGTTAATATGATTGGAGAACGGTTTACAAAGAAGAGGTAACTTGCTCGTCAACACCTCCGGGCTTTGCTCATCCATAGATCAGTATGTTCCGAGAGAAGCGCACTTCACCCTGTCGGGCAGCTCCGGCTTGAGACTGACATACTACTCGTTGCAATACAAAGCGTCATACAGTCGGGTAACAATCGCCATAGTATAGTCAGTACAGGCAAATAGTCCTAACTTCAATGAGATCCTTCAGTCAATATCTCAAGAATGCAATCTCTGGTGAATGATACTGTTTGTCGAACAAAACCAGCATCCACGCTGTGATATTCGGCGCGTACGTCTTGACCTTGCTACTCTCTTCCAGTCCAGCCCATGTCTTTTCCACAAGTCCCAAGCGCCCATCGCGTGTGATGTTGATATTTCCCAACAACAAAGCGAGGATGCATGCGCTCAGGCCGTAATTACCACTATCCAGCATGCACGAGGCGAGTCGGTTCCGAAATCGACATATATGTCCGAAAATTGCTATGCGGTCCGCCACCATTTGGTTATCGCAATCCTGCATGGTTCTAAATATGGCAAGACAGCCCCACCAGGTACGGTTTGAGGTGTAGTCTCGGGAAGTGGCAAAATTCTCGTAGAATCGATGACTCCCTAGAAAAGTCCATTTCTCATCTTTATTGAGACTGCAAACATGGAGCATGTCGGCCATGTGCCTGCCACACAAGTCGTTGAAGTATGTTGCATCGAAACAGAAATCTGCACCTATCATATGGAGGTGCACGTCGTCTGATATCTTGGAAGACACCTCAATAGGAACCAGAAGAAATAACGCCGAGGCAAATCTTTTCTCCTGGAATGCCCATGTTCGGCGGAACCAAGCATCTTGTGCAATGGACGTAAGCAGTTCTGTGGCCGCTTTAACTCGCTCACTTACTGGAGGCCATTCAGAGGACTCTCTGTTCGTCACATCCTTGTTGTATTTACAGTCGTGATAGAGGTATGTAATCAGCTGTTCCAAAGAACGACGATCCGTTATCGGATGAGACAGTGGCGCCACCGTCCACTTGCTCTCTTTGTATACCCGATGCATGATCTTCAGATGTGCTTGAATATCTGTAGGGTCGGTCTGATCAATGCATTCTTGATCAATCCAAACAAACGCACATTTGCGAGATCTGGCGAACAGCATTGCGCGATGGAAGACCAACGTCGGACAGCCGATAGGTATAGGTTCGCCTGCTTTCGACCAGTCCGATATATGATAATGCGGTAGTGGTGGCCGACCTTCCATGGACTGCGTGTGCTTCCAGCAGTAGGACACAGTAACATAATACATGCCATCTGCATGTTCCTCTGGTGTTGTAAGCCGGTAGTCGTTGTAGCTATCGTCCGCAAGCCACCTCTCGACCGACACAGGTGTGACGAAGCGAAGTTTGATTGGCGTCTTCTCCGGGACCTTGTACAGTGCCAGATCGAGAATCTTCTCAACCTCCTCGTGAAGAGCCTCTGGTGAGCTGTATATCTCGTTCAAAGGCAGATGGTCGTCGCGCTGCATGTTTGCAATCCACAATTCCAATTGGTAATTCGCTGAGATCCAGGGAAGTCGCGATCTTGAAGCCCAAGGTGCTTCCTAGGCTCTTGAGCCCATTTGTGTGCTGCTTCGTGAGCCGAGTCGTTGTAGTGGTTTCGCAGCACCGTGTATGATCGAAAGAGGGGTAGGTGCAAGATATGCGCATCAGTAATGTCTGTTGAAGGCAGGTTAGTTCACAGCAGGCAGCGACATCAGGCGCGATTGCGCTGCATCTCACTGCTCACGTGCATAGCGGGGTTCAGTACCTACAACACGCAGGCGCAACCAAGACCACCATGAAATGTAAATATCTTCATTACTTGATACTGCGAAACCAACAAACCCAGCCAAACCGAAGCCGCAAACGAATGCATCCCCAAATCTAACAAAACGCCCATTGCATATTGCAAATGCCAAAAAGACCACACCGAGCCCACCACCCCATCTACCGAGCGTGTTTCATCGGATAGCATTAAACTCGTATATGTGGATATCGCGAAAGAACAAAAATTTTGAACGCCATGACAGACATATGCATACTCAGCGTTGCCCATTCCCCGTTTCGCATCATCGTTATCATCAGTACAATGATCGTCGCTTCAGCTTATTCCTGTTCATCCGTTAGCAAACATCCATCACACTGTCATCTCGCACCATGTAGAAGAACTTACGTAGCACCCCAACTCAACCGACTCTTCGACTTCGCCGCCTCAGGCCCCATCGCCGACCTCGGCCTCTCCTTCTCCTTCTCCTTCTCCTTCACCTCCTCTTTCTGCGCCGCACCAGCCTCCGGACCCGTCGCATTCGCAGTAACAGCGTAGTAACGAGGTGTAGTCGGTGTGTTGCGTCGCGGGTTCGGAGGACGCACGTTGGTGGGAAGAGGCGATGTCAACGGTGTATCGGCGGCTTGGGAGCCGACGGGTTTGGATGGAATGGCTGATGCGGCGGTGGAAGGACGGATGGACATGTTCTTGTCCTTGGGTGCGAGGACGCGGCGCAGTTTGGATTCTTCGCGTTTGGGAAGGGCTTCTGGAGCTGGTGTTGCGGCGTCGGCGGATGGCTGCTCGGGCTCTTGGGTCTTGCGGACGATCTTCTGCATCATGACTTTCAGGCCGAGGCTCCTTCGGCGGTTGGTCTTGAGCTCTCTCAGTTCGGCGGGCGGGACGTCGTGCGACATCAGACTCCAGCGGTTTGGCGTTTCCTTCGGCGAGCTCTTGCTGCGGAGATGGCGTTGAGGGGTCTCTTGGATGCTTCCTTCGCGTTCCGGGACTACGGGCATAGGTGGAATCGGTATGGCTTCCACGGGTGGTGCCTCGTCTGATATCTTCGTCAGCGGTGGACTCGGTTCGTGGATGAGTGTCGCACCACTTGAGCGAGCAGAGAAGCGGTCAGGCCGGTCCATGGAAATGACACGCTGCCGGGTGCGCTGGGAGCCGAGGCGCTCGTGATCGAGCATGAGCTGATACTTGGTGGCTTTGAGCTCGTCGATGGATTGCTGCAAGCGTTCAATCTCGTCTTGGTCCTGTGTGTGGAAGGTGGCAGCGGCGTCAAGTTCACCTTGGATGTCCTTGACGTAGTGGTCTTTCTCCGCGATAGTATTCCTCAGCAACTCCATCTCTTCGTCCTTGCTGGCAAGTGCTTGCCGTAGCTCGGACACCTCACCCTCCATGCGCTGGAAATGAACACGATGCACTACGCTTGGGCGGGCGGTCTCCATGTCCTCGTTGACTTCCATCTCTTGGTTGAGCTGCACCTTGATAGCCTCAGCCTCTTGAAGCGCAGTGAACAAGCGGGCATTAGCCTCGACCAGTCGCTTCTCGAGAGCGGCCACCTCGGCGTATAGGCGAAGGTTGTCTTGTTGGGTGGTATTGAACATAGCCTCGAGCTCTTCCTTGTCGTGCTCATCCTCGTCAATCGTCGGCAATCGTCCGACCACAGAGTTTGCTCGACTTCTGGGCTGTGGCTCAAGTTCCGCCAGCTTAACGGCGGACTCCTCCAACTGCTCTCGAGTCTGAGTGTGCTTTTCTCGCTCTTCCTTGAGGGCCTTTTGTATCTTCTTGGCAACATCCCATGATCTTTGCAGCTCGGCTTGCTGATTGACAACCTCCTCCTTGGTCTGGGCACTGGCGGCGAGTTGTTCTCGCAGCTTTGCAATGATCACATCCTTGTCTTCCTCAACCTCCGGAGAACTTCTGCCCTTCTTGATCCGTAGCATTCGGACTTCAAGGGCATGCCCATCGTCCCCGTCTTCCGAAAACCGCGGGCTCGACTGTCGTTCCATAGAGATCAACCGCTCCCTCATTAGCTTCAGCTGCGCATCTTTGACTTCCATTATCGTCTTGTGTTGCCGGGTCATCTCTTCAAGCTGGCTATCGCGATCCTGTATGCTTTTGTCTTTCTGCTCGTTGCCCTTTCGAAGTGCAAACAGCTCGATGTCTTTCCGGTATACAATCGCCTGATGGTCTCGGCCCAAGTTTTGTTTGATGGCTTTCAGCTGATCACGGAGGCCAGAGTATTCCGCAAAGGTATCATTGAGCGCTTCGCGTGCATTTTGAAGTTCCTCCTTCGTGATTCGAAGTTGGACTTCACGGGCCTTGTGTGCTGTTTTAGATTCAGTGAGCGAGCGTTGCAGTCGCACGATCTCGCTATCTTTAGGGTCAACGGCGATCGTTTTTGTGTCGGATGCCCCTGATTGAGAGGTCGAGATTGGCTCAATGGGCTCGAAATCTTCATCCTCGACGGCGGATGTCTTGGGAATGGGCACGGTAGCCGCATTGGTCAGATCAGAAGGCGTTTGGGCCCGGGGGGTTTCGGATGACGAGGGCGAGCGGGGTTGGAGATCTGATTCGCTATCACGATCGGTAGCGCCCGCCGCTAATACTCGCTGAAACACGTCAAACGCGACCATGACGAAAACAAGTATCAATAAATCGCCTGCTTCGAGTTTGTGGTTTGCGCAGCTGGCGAGTGCGACGAGGTGCAATGCGTTTGCAATTGACGTCTGATGTCTGTTCGCCCAAGCGTCGGGCCGTTGGCGCGCAACTAGGAGAAAAGTGCCCGGTAAGGCTGTGACGATGACCGTCGAAAGGGGCGAGTCAAAAGCAAAGTCCAATACCCTGCGCCGCGTGTCGATCAGGTTGTGCAATCCCGACGTAAGTCCGAAGACTTCAGTGTCGCGCGTCCTGCTGAGAAGACGGTAGACGCCACCTACGACTGGAGTGTCGCCTGTAGCGGGATTAGTAAACCAACGATGTGTGCAGGGCGTCCATGCGAAGACGAGCCGCTTTACATACCTGATCTGGATCCTGGCGCTGCGAGCTCAGATGGGTGACTGGCGGTACAGACAGCTGGAGTAGCTATCGAACCAAGAGTAGTCGTCAACGTCGATGACAAAGTCGATGGCTCTATAGATGATGATATAGTCTCTCCCGCAGCTAAAAGAAACCTTCGGGTCAAAGCAGGGGTAAATCCTGCGTCGGTAGGTAGCGGATAACGTTGTGAAGTGTCTTGGGCTCCGTCAAACGCTCTCAGCATTCTGGTACGAGCCAAGCTGTCGAACGGTTCGGTGGTGAGACGTGGAATCGAGAGGTTGGAATTAGGCGAGTCAAAGAATGAAGCGAGGGGTGGTGGCCTTGGGCGTCGTAATAATAGAGTTCATTAAGTTGACGTCAAGATGCTATACGTTGGGTGTACAAGATGCAATGGCCGTGAACATGATACCGCCAAACTCCAAAAAAGAACAGTAACAAATGGATCGTGAACAAGTTGGGGCATTGATGAGATAAAGGGGAAGCTCGCATAAATGAGTAATGGAAGTGAGGGGTTGCATGTGAGCTGTGACGCCGTGCTCGACTGCTTGCGTGATGGATATCGCAGCAAAAGTAACGGAGACATGCAGGGATCCCCGCAACTAAAGCCCGCTGCCCTAGATTTCGAACTGCTTGAAGCCCTCGACCAAGCCATCGCTAATCTTGGAGGGAATTGCCCACACAGGCAGATAGTGCTGCACCTCGTCGAAAGCAGGGATGTCGCCTGTGTTGGCGTCCGACCACATGCACACGACCCTTCCAGAAAGTTTCGATTGTTCTTTGGCGTTCCAAGTCACGCTAACGTTCCAGGGCTGCCCAAATTCGCGATGCCACAGTCGCACTTCCCGGGCGCCGTCCCCACCGACGGGTTTGAAGCGAGGATCTGAAACGGCGCCGTCGACGCTCAACGCTGTGATGGGCGAGTCGAAAAGCACGCGACATGCTCGGGTGTTATGCCCAACAACGCGTATCGTCGCCTTGTTTGAGTGATTGCCCTTATGGATCGAGTAATTGAGCCAGCTGGCAATGTACGTGTTGTTGTCAAATGGCGCGACTTGCGCTGTCTTTGGGACGACTTTAGCGTCAAGACCCTGCCACTGGCACTGCTTTAGTTCCTTACGCGTCGCAACCTCGGGTGTCGTGCAATCAAGCTGCTGGCCTTGCGCACTGGGTAACTCGCCAACAATGCGTTGCACATAGCCGTCCAAGCCGGTCAGGGACACGACGTTATGACCAGTCTCGCAATTAACCCGCTGGACGAAGTACACCTTTAAGCGATGATCCCTGCTGAAAGGGAACGCAACAAGGTTGTAGATGACGGTTGCGACGCATATCAGAAATAAAAAGGTGGGGATGTGATATGTGAAGCGGTGAATAAACGGGCCGGTGGGTGCGAGCAACAACACAGTAAGCGCTGCGAAGGCGAGGTAAATAAACAGAGGCGAGTTACCATCGGATGGCGTCTGGTATAGGGCCGACGTGAGGAGTAGAGCGACCTGTCCGACAAGGATGATCACGATTGGCGCTAAGAGTAGCAGTTGAACGACCCAGATCCAGCTCGGTAATTTGCCGCTCCACTCTTGTTCTCCAGGATACACGTTGCCGAGATCTATTCGCCGGGGCCCTTGAGCATGATCCTCGCCGCTCTCGCTGATGGAGTCTCGCCTGTTGCCGCCGTATCTTGCGAATCCACGTCGATCGCCGCGTAAAAGTGAGGTGGTCTCGGTGGCGTCATCGTCTCCCACGGGGCGATCATCGGACCGTGCAGCGGTGGTGCTGCCTGTAAGGGGCCTGCTTGCGGACTCTGAGTTGCGCCGGGATTCGTCTTCCTGCTCGAAATGACGGGCATACGCAGCTTTGGTTGGAGCAAGGAAGAGTTCGAGGTATGAGAGGAGGATTGCTGCGAACACAGCTGCGAAGTAGAACATCGCAGAATAACCAGCGGCAACCTGGTAGTCGTTCACGAAGACCGTGATGATCGTGAGAAGCACGAAGGAGCCGATGAAAAGCCAGATCAAAGCGTACATGCGCTGGAGCGCGGATGGTCGCATAGCATCGGCCCCTCGCGCAAGGAACCAAGCGATGAATATCCAGGCTGAGAGCATCATGCTGTTGATATTGTTAGCAGTGAACAGAGTAGCAGCATGAGCGACTTACCTCCAGACGGCGAATGGGCTGCTGTAAACAATGAAGGGATTGAACCGGACTATGAGATAAGCCAATGCGACCACAACAGCACTTGCAGTGACAAAGATGATGGGGAAGCGGAAGAAGCCGCGCCAGCCGTATAAAGGTACTGGATTGTCATCGTCAGACGAATGGATGTAGGCTTTGCGCGCCAATAGGTAGTTCTTGTCAGCTTTGGAGAGACCAAAGGTCAGACCAATCAACGTAAGAGGTGCCACAACCAGCAAAGTGACGCACAAAGCGAAAAGGGTGTGTAGCTTGAAAACGACGAACACCTTGCCGAAGAGGTCAAACCACACGCCGTCGCTGCCAGTTCCGGCATTGACTCTACCGTTATCGAGGCTTTCTGAGCCACTGAATTCGTCACTGGTGATGGAAGCCAATCCGGATGTTGAGGCCAGAGCTGCTGAAAGCATGTGCCAGAGCGAGTTCATCGAAGTTTCACGTGTGGAGTCTTCCACTGTGTGGTATCTGGCCCTGGGCTCCATGAACGCAATGTCCAGGCCGCGTAGCCCAAGTTCGCCATGGAAGACTTTGTAATCAGTTTCGCTTCGAATGTAACCCTTTTTGAAGCCATCTCCGCTTACGACTGTTCCGAAAGGATATTTAGACTTTTTGTAGTAGCGGGTGACTTCGGTATCGGTGCTCCTGAACAAGGTAGCTCTGCCGCCAGCTCCAGCTCCCTCGAGGTTTACGAACGTATGGGGGACCTGAGAAATCGGGTTCCGCATGAAAGCTTTGGCGCCGTTGAGATAATCCTCTTCGCCGTTGTTAAGCAGCAATACCACGGTTCTTTTGGGCCAGTTCTTGGATTCTGTGAAGTAGGATAGAAGTTGCAGTATCGTCACAACACCCACGCCATCGTCAGTTGCACCGTACCCGCTGCTCACTGAGTCGTAATGGGCGTTCACAAGTACGCCGCCGTTGTCCGGACTGCGCTCAGTCCCATTGAAGGATTCGTCATCATCAGAACCGCGGATTGCAACAATTATGTTAGTGCCTTCAAAATAGATAGATGTGCTGCCAGATGAAAATGTGGCGTTTGCGGTCAGGTCATCGAAGAGCTCGACTTGGCCCTTTTCCAGGTCTTTTAAAGTAGCGATGGCCTTGATGCGCGCAAGCAGATATTTGCGTACATCGTCGTTCGCGTGGCTGTTGTACGGGTGGAACCGGCGGGTAATGTGCTGGAGGTCGCCCCAAGCTTCTGTGAGGTTGACGCCGGTTGGCGGATTGGATGGATAATTCGGTACCGTCAGGTGGGTAACGAGCAGGGCAGCAAAGAGGCCCACGTAGACGATGGTAGTAAAGAAGATGACTGGCCCAGGCGTGAAGGAGAATGGGTTGAGGCGGGCCATGACAGCTCTCGTGGCGCCACGTAGCTTTCAAAAGCTTTCAGTGGGAAGAAATGACGCAAGATGCAGTAGAGTCGGTGGTTGTAGCTATGCTTGGTGATGGCGGGCGGGGCGCGTCCTCGTGCATTGCATGTGATGTGCATATGTCATGGGCCATAGCTCCTAAGCTTAGCCCCATGCGTGTCTAGTCGCGTCAAGAACCCCAAGCTTTCTGTCATCACTCACAATCACGACGGAGTCGAATTGCATCAGCTTCGCGTCCATACGCCCGCAGTGTATATTGGTATTTGCCTTAGCGACCAATCGTCCTCGTGCTGATCATGGGCCTCGAGGCGCGCTTGCCACCAATACAGCCGGATGAGGACGCGTCAGACAATGAGGCATCAAACCCAGTAGAAGATGTCGCGGAACTGCCAGTACTCACGACTTCACCGACAGCCTATTCGGCATGCTGTTTAGCTCTCAGCGAAACCCTCATTGCCTACCTCGTCTCGCTCCTTCCTCAGCCTCCCGCGCTTGCTCTATCCGTCGGAAGCGGCTTCGGCCTCCTCGAAAGCTATCTCATCACCAAACCCTACGCGTACCATGTCATTGGTGTTGAAGTAGAGCCGAGCTCGAACAGATACTTGCCCTCTTCGAACCATCGCGTCGTTCACGGCACGCGTTTTCTTGAGCCACTCGCAGCGGAGGCTACGACATGGCTTTTCGTATACCCACGACGCGTTGGGCTAGTACGCGAATACCTTGCGCAGTATGGCCAGGACAGCGTGGACAGAGTGATATGGGCAGGGCCCAAATCGGACTGGGATGACTACAAGGCATGCTTTGCCGGATGGACTGTGGAAGAGCAGAGCGCCGAGCAGATCGGTGGAAGGGCATGGGAACTGATCGCCGTCGCACACAGGCCCACGTCATGAAGCGATATGTCTGTTATGACGGACGTATCTATTCTCGATGCTGGCTCCACGTGTTTGCCTAGACCTCATCGTCTCCGACCATGCGCAGGCTCCATGGCTAACGAGAGCATGATAATTCCTGCCAGTGACGAAGGCCTTATTCTGGCTCGATACCCTGATATCGATGACTGGATCGCCATTTGGCGCGCTGAGCCACATCTGAGTGTAAGTTACGCTCATGTTGCAATGCTGCATTGGTCTCTGAAGTGCACGCTCTTGGTTTCATTGTCTTGTCTCTCACAACAACGCCGAAGTTTTCTCTTTCGGCGGACAAAGGCAATGTGAACTTCACATTGATGCTAGGTGGGCGGTCTTTCACTCGAAATTCTGTTTGTCTTGTACGACCTGGAGATGACGCTTTGTCTCATCAGCTACATGTCTGCCGTCTTCTCAGGTTTGGGACACTCCATACATCGCCCATCTCAACAAGGCACGCCCTCACGATATTGCACCATATGTGTTCACACCCTCGAGAGTACGATAACGATAAACACATTTTCTAGACGCACCAGCAAAATCGCCTACCATGGACGCTCTTCCTGGCGCTGTAATACAAGCCTTTGCGCACCTGTGGGGCCAGCATCCCGAAGTAGCAGCTGGCATCTACGCTGCAGGTGCCGTCGCTGCTGCTGTGCCGCAGTACATACCAAACTTTGAGCAGGCCAAGGTTTGGTATCAGAAACCCAGGCCTCTTACGACATCTGTCGCCAAACCCGTCCACACCATTGAGGACGCAGCCGGGATCGTGAAATCAATAGTTACCAGAGCTCCCCGGCCTACCCGTATCACCGTCACTAGTTCTGTTTCACCGGCCTGCAACACACCCTCCACTGTCGAACAGCAAGCCAAACTTGAAGTGTTGGACACTTCCTCGTCTTCCGAATCAAACCAGGACATCTCCAGATCTGACACGGAAAGCTCTGCTCCTTCAGAAGCGAGTAGCTTATCGCAACTCTCCTCGGAAAGTAGTATCCTGCGAGATACATTGCCAGAGATATCTAGCAAGAGTACAGGGCGTTCACTAGCAAAGACTACGAGTACTTCTTCTGAGAAGAGCAATTCTGTTCACGAGGTACCGTCAGTATTGGGCACAAAATCTTCCAATGTTACAAATACAGGCTTTAAAGCCCGGATGAGTATGCTTCTACGCGGCTCGCGATCCTCCGCGGCATCGAAAGAATCGGCCATCAGCGATACACCCAGAGACGTCACACCGACCGGGTCCCCCACTGTTAGCAAGGTGCCTTCCTGGACCACGTCTCCAGCTGTGGTTGAACAATTACCGGTTACCTCACAGTCGTTCGATGAGATCATAGACTATTCGTTTGAAACCATTACCATTCCGCAGAGATCAAAGACAGTTTCCAGTGCTCCTCTATCTAGCACTGCGAGCATTGACTCTGGCCTCAAAGAACATAAGTCAGCCTTTACACATTATAGGCAACATGCGGCTAGCAAAAGCACCCGGAGCAGTATCTCGAAGCTGACAGAACATAAGCCAGCCTTTACACATTACAGACAAAAGGCGGCTAGGAAATCACTCCAAGATGCGTCGTCATCTAAGACACTTCCCAGTGCACCTGTGTCTAGCACCAAGTACAGCACCGTTACGCCGAGAGAACACAAGCCAGCCTTTACACCTTACAGACAAAAGCCGGCTAGCAAACCACTTCGAGATTCGCCGTCATTCGCCAAATCCCAACTCTCACGCTGGAATGACTTTCAACGAGCGATTCATGAGAAGTACATTACACAACAAGCAGATCAAAAGCCGACCAAGCCATCTTACTACAGTAGCCCTGTCACCATGGCGGATATCATGGTAGGATATGTGCCATCCATTCTCTTCGCCGTATGCGACCATCTGTACAAGGAAGACCCGGACATTCAGGAAATGGTGGCATTTATGGTGCGCAATGCGTATATGTTTGTCGTTGGATATCTCGCCTACGCGGAATTCCGCTTGCCAACATTGCCATACACCAAAGTTGTAGCATACGCACGCAGCATCGGATCCGTATCCTACAATGTGTGGCAGAAAGCGGTAGCCGATTTCCTGGGAAAGCAGCAAACCGATCACTTTATCATAGACCGGGCGTTGTACGCCACCCTCATCGGTATCGCGATTTATTTCCTCCTTTTCGCCGGACGAAGGACCCGCGAAGTTGTTCACCACGAAGAAGATGAAAGCGATGTAAGCGAGGATGAAGACATGTCTGAGACCCAGGATCTGTCCGCCAGCTCGCCTGCTGCCATCCAGCATCGGAAAGAGACATCAATTCGTTGTGCCATCGGCTTCACTGTTGTGATGACTGTCATCTGGCTCAGTCACTACGTCCAGGACCTGGCTGTTATCTTGGCCAGTGTGCCAGCGGTACACGTCCTTTCCATCTATAATGAAGAGGCGCGCAACACCATCTTCACCATATTGAACCTGGTGGTTGGCGGCTCATACCGATCGGTCATCGCCGCGCGAACCTGGATACGATACTACGCTGCGGTTGCAGTAGTAGTATACGTCGTCATCCATATAGACCAGCCATCTTTGTGCGCTGATAGACTTTTCAGAGGGGGCGTTGCCCCACCTTTCAGTCATTTTGCTGTCGTGCTCAAGCTTGTGGGCCTCTCCTATATCGACTCACTCGTGCACGGCATCATCGAAGTCTCTCGAATCTCCATAGCAAAACTCCAGGTTGTAAAAGCTTGGGCTCGGTACAAGTTCATGCTCATCGTCAGAGGTCGCGCTGTTTTCCCGTGGCACCCAAACACTGTCGGCGAATGTCTTCGCTGGGTGCTTGCGACAATATTACTCGGTCCCCGGACAGTATATGGGTTGCTGCCAGTATGGGTTGGCCCAGTCATTGGGTTGATCGCGCTCTGGGCATTGACGCATGCATTCATACCATTGTTCCAGTCTCTGTTCACGGCGATCTGGCACACCATACAGCCTTGGACTGAAAGGGCGTCGGATGCAGCTGCTCATACAGTGAAGGAGTTTACTACTAGCACTGCGTCTATTCCAGCCCCAGTCAAGGGGTCGACTTCATGGACTGCTGTAACCACGACAGCTTTACGCAATTGGGTCACGCCTCCTCGCAAACTCACTCCAACTTCGCGGGAACGCGCAACGAGCTCTTATGTGTACACTGCTACCTCGACGGAGAGGGCTACGAGCTCTCGTATACGTACTACCCTCTCGCCGGCATGGGCTACCAAGTCCGTTAGGAATGCTACCTCCAGTTTCATTACAAACACCCAGAAAACGACTTCTTCAGCATTCGGAAGGATCTCAAAGAACTTGAGCTTGTTCTACAGCGCACAAATCAAGCCGGTTGTATCTACCGTGAGTACACGCTGCCTCAGCAACTGGTGCCAAGGCCTAGCTTACCACTGGGTATGGCGCGCGACGACTATCGTCGCTGTCGCCGGTGTCTGTACCGTAGGCTGGATCATGGCCGCTCACGCATATCCCGCGCACAAGGTCCGGTCGTCATTCACATTCGCAGCTTGTTTCATGATAATATACGTCCTGGGCACAAACGGGGTTCTGGCTTGCACCCAGGACTACGGCATTATCCTTGCGACTGTTCTTGTCATGCTTCTACTTCTAGCCTACTGGCGGCCGGATCCGATCGTGGCCCGAGATTCTCCCGATGAACCGCTTCCTAATCTGCTTGATGAAGTTGTGGCTCCTGGCTCTGCACCGCCAAGTCCTCCCCCAGCACAAATTCCCATCCCTACCAATGACGTCGGAGAGTCACAGGAAGTAGACCCCCTAATTGGACAACGTGATACTTCCAATCAGCCTCCAGACGCGCAGCCGCCGCAGACACCTCAGCCACCCAGCAACAGTCCAGCAGTTGATCTTTTGGATGAGGACTTATCGGGGCTTCCAGATGAGGTAGACGCGTTGCGCACTCAACAACAGGCTTCGCCTGTGCAATCTCCTGTGGAAACGCCTACGCAAGAGCAACCGATCGAGACTTCGGCTCAGGCTCATCATGATCAGACGCCCACCGAAGATGCATGGACACAAACAGATGCACCTCTTTCTTGGCCGCAGCGCTGGATGAGCTGGCTCTTTGACAGTGAAGCGGCGCGCATAGCAAGAGAGAGGACTATCGAGGCTGCCAGGGCTGCTGCTGAGCAGGAGCACAAGGACTTCCTAGAGCAATCTGGCCTGGGGAGCGGTGCACAACACGAGGAGTCACAGTCGTCAAACGACGCCAGCGAAAGTCCAGCTGCTGACTCAACGATGACTTCTCAACCTACAGAGACCGAGCAACAGCACCGGGCTACCGTTGAAGCTGAGGAAGCTGAGGAAGCAATCCCAACTATCCCGTCAGAGACTGCGACTAAGGCGACTCCAGACCCTGCGGCTCAGCTGCCAGTGATATGGGTGGGTGCTGATACATCAGGATCTTTGCGTAGCCTCACGCCAGCTGCCGAGTTCAAACGTACTCCACTGTTCGAGCCTACTCCTCTGACAACGACCACTCTCAAGACCACAGCGTCTCGCCCACCAGTAGTTCCTGCTGAGCCTATTCCGCCAGCCACGACTGCTCCCTCAACTATCGCCGCTCCTGCAATACCAGCCATTTCCTCCGATTCTCTGATCGTACCTACTCCCGTCATTACGCCTACCGATGTACCAAAGTCTGCCACAGACACTACTGAGCCTTCGACATTGCTTGACATATCGTTTGATCTACCTACCATCGTAGTCAACGCACCAGAATCTGAGACGCAAGGAGGATACACGCCCATGACATTTGTTCCCATTGAGATGACGGAACTCGCTACACCCGCCAAGCACACGCCTCTCAAGGACCCTGCTTCGGAGCCTGTCAGTGCACCAGATCACCAAGCTCCAGCCGCTGGTTCAGTGCAAGATCAACAAGAGGAAGATGCGCAAGACGATGAGCATGATAGTGTGCAAGAAAGCGATGAAGACGAAGACGAGGTCGAAGGAGAAGAAGAGTTCGATTTCGGTGGGAGTCCCACAATAGGCACATCAGCTCCGCTACAGCCAGCGAGTCCTATAGATGCCGAGATTGCTGCAGCACTTGAGAGGCAACGCGAGGAGGTGCGAAGAGAGGCTGAGCAGAAGAAGGTCTCGACTCATATGGAGGCTGCTTCTGGTGGAGCACCCGCGCCTGGCGACGGCGATGACAGTGGCAACGGTGATGGTAAAGATCACAATGATTCGGGCAATACGCCGATACCTGGTGCCCCGAATTATGGTATCCCTCAACCCGACAACGAGCCCTCTTCGCCAAAAGATGCACCAATGGAAGGCATGGACAATGACGCTCCAGCAGCTACACCCACCACTAACGCCAATGCAACTGTCCCCGACTTACTCTCGCAACCAGCTCCCGGCACGGCAAACAGTCGTCCTTGGGCCCCATTCAGCTCGCTTCCTTCCAGCAGGACTGAGCCGCCCATGTTCACAGAAGAGGAACTTGAGACGCAATTCGCCCTTCCTGCCATCTATAATCGGCCTGCCGCTCGACCCACAGACCCAAAACATCCAGACTCCGCAGAACAGTGGCGTAACAGGCTGCTGGGAGGTCCTAGTATGATGACCATAATGAGACGAGAGCGTGAAGCTGCGGCTCGAAGGGCTGGTGGTGATGGTGGAGACCCGCCGCCTGGCCCTGGTGGCCCTTTCGGTGGAGATGGCGGCAGCGGTGGTGGCGCGAACCCTCCATCACCATCGGGTTCAGCTGGCTCAGGACCTATGGAGGGGATGGACGAGTCTTCTTCGAGCGATTCAGACCATCACGGTGAGAGCGACCCCCATAGTCATCAAAATGATGACGGTCAGACTTTGGACAATCAAGCTGACACCAACGATCAGATGGATGATGACAACGACGGCAATGAGGGTGGTGGCGACGATGATGGCGATTCATCCGCACAACCTGAAGCTTCAAATCTCGCCGATGTTCCTATGACTACTACGCCCGCGGCCTTTGATACTACTGTCACGGCCGACGACGATGGAGACGTTGATATGTCCGACCTATTTAGTGCCGATTTGGACGATACCAATTTGGACGATATCAATATGGACAATATCAATCTGGATAACATTAACTTGGACGGCATCGATTTCGACAAGATCGCTAACTCTGGCTTCAATAATGAGCAAACGCCAACCACCACCGCTGATGACATGAGGAGACAGCTGGTGCCTCTCGAGGGAATAGAACAAGACAGCGGAATGCCGAAAAATCTGTACCTGTCTCCCGAGGATGAGCAATACGGTGAAATCGCAGCAAACAACATATTCGCTGATATTGATGCGTATGAGGCGCAGAATGGGCCTATCGATGTACCACCTCCCATGTTTGAGCCTCAACAGTACCCGACAGACGGGGAAAGTTTCGATGATCTTCTTGGAAACGTCGGCGATGAATATTTTTTACCGACCCAGCAGCCATCGGTCATTGTTCCTGGGCCTCCTAAGGGTGCGCCAGATGCGTTTGACCCATTCTCATTCTCAAACGTGAACTGGGGTGCCGCATTTGGGGATGCTACGCAAGCCGAAGAGGGTGATAATGTGTCACATCAAGAAATCATTGGTGCCGCTGTTGAGAATGCATTAGGAGAAGATCAGGAGCCGGCACGAGATGATCTAGCTCCACCGCCACCAACCCACGGAGACGACTTTAACCTTGAAAACAACGAAGTTGCTGAAGACAATGAGGAACTTATCGCCGGGCTTTCGAATGTCGATCTTAACGTTGACCAGACGGAAAAGAATGACAAAGCACAAGTTTCGCCAGGTTTAGGAACTCAGCGAGTATGGGACAGTGACTTCAACAAAGCTCCGGACAACGCTGAACACGAATATAAACACCCAGATGAGTTCACAAGTATCAGACCGAGAACACGCTTAGTACAACTTCGGGAGGACCACAAGATTGTGGAGAACCCCGAACATGCGGATAACCGGTCAGCCGGCCTGAAATCGCTAGACGAACTGACCGGGCGACAAGGTCAGGTCTTCCGCGAAGTTCCCATGGACACGTACGAGATACGAGGAGAACGTCACGACGACTACAAGGATGCACAAGAGCTGATGGCATGGTTTGATCCAGATGCTGAAGGTGCTGAACCTCGAGGTGATTCCTCGCCAGCTGGTTCTGACGATGGTAGCGCGTTGTCGGGCGAAATCGATGATGATGAACTGGACAAGCTTGCCAAAGAAGTGGAAAAGGATCAGTTGGATGAACTGAACAAAGCGTCCAAGAGAACACGAGACCTTTCTGATGACTCAGATTCAGAAGCATCGGAAAAGATTCCAGATGGTCCAGCAACTCCCCAGGAGAGTTCAGATGCACGAGCTGGTACTCCGAAGAAGGGCCGCTTCAGAGGTCCAGTCTCATTTGATACTGAGGAAGAAGCCCGTTTCGAGAAGAACGATGTGGAAAAGGTCCTGGACCTTCCGGTATTCCAGAAACTGAAGGAGGCCAACACCACATCGACAACCCCATCGCTGGCGCAACCATCTCCAATCGCTATGTCTGGTCTTCCGACTCGCCCGAGTACTAAAAGTATACTCAACGCGCCGTCGATGCCAAGCTCGAATCCTACTTCCCCATTTTCGTATGACAGGCCGCCGCCGCCTTCACCTCTAGCAGGTGGTTTCGCACCGGGAGGTTACGCACGCTCGTATAACCCAGTCACTTTGCAAAAGATGAACGGCACGTCCCCTTATGGAGGTATACCGACTCTCGGCAATTTTACTACACCACGCGGTCAAAGTGGTAATGCGACACCGCCTCCTTGGAGTCCAAGCTACCCAGCCATGAAGCTGCCCGATGCTGCACTATCGAACGCAAGAAGCTTGCTCAAACCGGCATCCGCCCGACATCGTGCGCAGCCTACATCAGGCACAGCGACTACAAACTCCCCGCTCACCTCGCCCGCGTACATGCCCATGCAGCCCTCGGCGGGCGTGAACTCCAGTAACTTATCGACTACTCCTCCAGCCTACGACCCGGCACAGCCTGCGTCGGGATACACTCCGAAGTCAGCATCAGACTTTCGGGCCCAGTTGATACCTCTTTCTGGACTGGGTGTACCACAGAAGCCATTGCCACAGCTTAGTCCGGTAACACATCCAGGCGCCGCAACGCAAGATGAAGATGCGGTTGGAGATCAGACCTCGCAAGCTCCAGTAAGGGATGACAACAACGACCACGATAGCGATGTTGACAGCATTTACGGTCACGACGAAGAGAAACCTCAGCAATCCCATAATACCCAACAATGGGGCAACACTGCGCAAACGAGTGTTCCAGCTCCTGAAGCTCCCACTGTACCTGTGAACAACGCGCCTGTCGTTGACGATGAAGATGCCAATATGGGCGGTTGTAGCCCGCCTACAGACGAGGATAACCCGTCGTGAAACCTCCATTAGGAGATTAGGTGATCTGGCGTTCAGACCACAGACAATAAAGTGCGGGCCTCAATGCCATATCTGCGTCGTACCCGGTGACTAAAAGGATCCACTTCAGCGACCCACGCCTATGCCAGCACCAAACTGAAGAGCGTCGGCCAGGTTTTCACACTTCCGTCTTTACATCGTGCGTTTCCTGGACCGACTATTGGTTAGGGCAAATAGCGATAGGGTCGAGCGGGTATAGCCCATGAAGTCTAGTTCTAGGTGGAACGGCTGGTGGGGTCTCAGGGTCCAGACTAGAGAGGGTGTATGGGACGTGCCTATTAAGACGCGCCAGCCAACAAACGCTGATCTAGAGACTGTGGAGCCTTCCCAAATGTTGTTCGATAATGTTGGGGATAAGAAAATTGTGTTTCGGGCGACAAAGAGGTGGATAGCGAGGGTCATCAGGGAAGAGAGGTGTGTGACCATGTTCTCATCAACTCGAGACCATTCAAAATGGGTTGCCTTACTTAGCTTATCAATTTCTATTCGCATAGCTATTATCTTTCGAACTCGTGCGCTACTGTAAGGCGGCTATGTTCGCGTATTAGCTGCCTGTGCCGGTAACATGTTGGCTGGTTGTAAAATCATGGCTCAGCCCCACAGTTCCACCGTGCAATCCCTGTCCTTCGTCGGCACTTCTCAACCGACCACGCCTTTGCGCATCACACGCCGATACTCAAATTCGTGTCGATGGTGTTTTGCCGTTGTTCTGCTCCAAGAAATCATGTGGTGCAGGGGGAAATGCTGTTGAGACGGAGAGACCCGCTTCATCTACCATCCTTCACCACGACGCCCTCAACGATCGACTACACATGACCGGATCTTTGATGCTTATGGTGTCTCCTCTGCGGAAGGCCTTGACATACTGGATGTCATATGTTGCAGAAATTGGGAATGGCCCGCTGCTCGCTCTGCGTTATCGCAGTGCGAGTGGATAACCTGGATGTTAGTTATAGGATGATAAATGCACACCAATGTGGACTAACTAGCAAAAGAATATATAGCTCTCGCCGCAGATCCATCTGCATCTGAAGAGAACACCCCAACATCCAGACCACAAGTCACCAAGATGAAGTTCACCTTCGCCCTCATCGCTCTCTTCACCACCGCAACCCTCGCCGCCCCTCCCCTGTACGACGTCCCTACCTCTAGCGATGTCGAACCCTCAAGCGACGCCATGCCCAGAGGGTTAGGGTTTATTCCTACCCCTTGCTTCTACTGCGGTGTCAGATATCACGAATGCATGGACGTACGTACTTTCTCCTCTCCCCATCAACTTTTCCACACGCTTGTACATCGCTAACCCAACCCCAAACAGAGATACGTGAACAGCTATAACTGGGAATTGGACAGGCCAACCGATATCCCTCAGTTCTACGAGAGTCAGGCGAAATGCGTAGAGTTGATGGAGAATCATTACGGTCCGTGTGTTCGGCGTCAGTGTAAGGTGACTTTCGATAAATTCGGGGAGCCGCATTGGCATCATCATGCGTAGGGGCGTGGGGTGGCTGGTCAGAGAACGAGAGATTATCGGGTATCCATTCGCGAATTGTTATGGATGTCTTAGGGGCACTGCGGATGTGTAACGATTGGGTTTGGTAGGATGCGCGATTGCCTCAAGAGAACATCTCTCCTGCGATTACATCTCGGTGATTAGAAGTATCCTTGTCATCATCCATCAATAATAAATCTCCATCAGACTGCAATCTACAGTGGTACTAAATGCGGATCCACTTCGTTGTCACGAGAGCAGCGTCCCTGTGATACGAATGGGGTCCTCGAACGCGAAACTCTGGCACCAACGGTAATCAGCAAACGAGGTGGACAAAGACCAGCATTCATAACTGTTGAGACGAGACTCCACACCAATGATGTATGCTCCACGGCGAGTTCTTGTTGAGCACCAATGACGCTACCACTACGTGTGAGTGCCAATGCAGATACTCCAGCATGCTCGCCTAGAGACACAGCATATACAATGCGTGCATACTCAAAAGTCGAATTGTCGTCTTCCCTCCCTTCAACTCGACACCAACACTACCACCCGGCCCATCTTCAAACCCTCCACAAGACCCATCTACCACATCTTTGTCAACATGAAGATCACCACCATCATCATCGCAGCACTCAGCACCGCCGCTCTCGCCTCAGAAAGCCAATTCGAATTCTCGCACTCGTGCGACACCTGCCGTGAAATGTATCAAGGATGCATGGCCGTAAGTCCTCCAGTTCCAACACAAACTTACCCAGTCACTGACATAACTCACAGGATCGTTGCCCTTCGTTCATATTCAACGAGGAGTGCTCGTTGCAGTGCCAAACTTATGTGTGCAAATCAGGCACAATTGGCGATTGGTGTGCAAACTGGTGTGCCCAGTATGATTACTTGAACTGTCATGGATGGATTGAGAAACCTAAGCACCCAAAACCCACCTTCCTCGTTCCGCCCGGGGAATGATCATCCAACCGTTACGGGAAATTGAGACCAGGTCGACGGGGTGGAGCGGTAACCGGAATGGGGTGAAGTACTTTCGCGATGCCTTGTGCTGACAGTCTCGTGGTATATGGAAGTGCTAGATTGGTTGTGACGACGATGCGCTTTGATGGCTGGTCAAGCAGAAGATATGAGGCTTGGGTTACGTTGCACCGAGCAAATGCCATTCCCGATTAAGGAGTTGTTTCAGTCTTTTTTCCTCCATCGGCTCATAGAGTAATGGTACTGCTTTTCTCTAATCAAGAAGCTTCTGCTGTCCACGCACGAAACCGCCACTATCCGGTAGCTCAGAGATCCCGTTACTGACAACGCATTTGCCAATACCTATGGCCAATCTCAGGTGAGAGAAATTGGCAGGGCACAGACCTTCGACTCTCGGCTTTGCAGCAACTCCAGAAGCTGCGAAGTAGCTGCCGCTCCCTCACCGCGCGTTATCTAGGTATCTCTCACTCACCACGGGTCGCCGCTCCCTCACCGCGAGTTACGCAGCTACCCATCTAGGGACCTGGAGCTCCGCTTCTCCCTGCTCTCCCCACGGGTATATAATCCCGCCCATCCTCCCTCTCTCCTCTTCTCTTCTCCATCGACAATCAAACACGCAAATCACTCAACGTCCACCTCACCACAAGACAAAATCCATCAACCACAACAACCCAACAACATCAACCCACTCGCAAGCATGAAGCTCTCCCTCCTCATCATGGCAGCCGCCTCCACCATCGTCCTCGCCGGCGGCGGCAAGAAGGAAGAATCCGTTCTGTGCAAGAAGTGCGACATCTACAGCCTTGAACACTGCGAGAAAGTAAGTTGTCACAGCCCCGAGCCCGTGTTCTTTGGTGCTCAGCCCAGAAACTAAGTTCAATAGGACGTCTGCAAGGACAAACTCAACGACCGCAAGCAGAAAGACTTTGAATGGTATATGTGCGTGAACGACTGTAACCGCCAGGACATCTGCAAGTACGTACCTGCAGGCGAGACAGTTGCTTGCGGCGATGAGTGCACTCCTCATGCTATCTGCTCCACTACCTAGGTGCCAATGCCGTTTAGGATATCTATCTCGGGTATCACGGTAGTGGATGAACATCAGTGAGGCATGCAAGGCAACGGGTAGCATGGAGGCTGGGATGAGAACTTGTCTTGGCTGAATGCCTGTCATCATTGCGGATATGGGAAACTGAACATGGACGAGGCTTGGTGGAATGATACATCCTTGGTAACTTTACCTAAAGATGAATGTCAACCGCACACTTATGCATACTGAAATCCTGAATGTGAATGTGAATGTACCTGAGCAAAAGTGACGCGTCTAGAAGATCCTCTCCTCGCCTGACACGACCCTTCTGGTGTTTCTCCACTATGAGGACTTTGGCGGCGTTCAGATAAGCGCAACCCATTCCTAACTTCCTTCACTTTTCCTCAATCTCCCGCCTGTCTGCGTTCGACGCTGCTGGTCATGCATTCCGATACATCCACAGCTACGTCGCCGATAGTCGAAAGTGAAGGCATTCATTCCAAGGTTGTTACCGTGGTCAGCTGACGTGACCCACATGCAACTCGAAGTCCAGAGCCGATGCTAATGGAACGCGTCGAGAGTGAGGAAATGGGAAACAGCTGACTTCGTGTTATACAGTGCCCACGAGCTTGGGTAAGTTCCAACACCCGGAGTGAATGAATGAAGATACGAACAGATCCACAGTGTTGGGATGTCTTTTGTTGTTTTATCAAGATCGCCTCCAAATCTCATGTTGCTTTTCATGATATATTCAGCCGTCAAGTAGGAAGCTGCACAGTGAGCTTCTGAGTTGTCGTGTTCATCTATATGTTACGTCATCCTTACATGTAGCCGTCCTTACGTGTAATTTCTTTTCCCTTACATGTAGTAATCCTTAAATGTGGTTCTACATTCTTGAGGCTATCCTTACATGTGATTGTTGGAATATGTGCTCATGAGTAATACAATCATGCATTAACGCCCCTGACATAAACGCGTGAAATGCCTCGCCCATGCGCAAATTCCACAACATTTCTCCCCACATTAATCTGTATCAACACCTACATTCTTTCATTACCATGTTGGAATATCGATACCTAGAACACCACCCAAGGTGCATATAAACCCACGATGCGCTGCCCCAAGAACACTCCTCTCTCCATCCACCATCGACACAATCTCCTCAACCACACACCAAACCAACCCACACCCACCCACCAACAATGAAGTACACCACCCCCCTCCTGCTCTTCATCGCGGCCCTTACCACCGCCAACCCCGTCACCTCCCCCTCCGCCAACGCCATTTCCTCTGCAAACCCGCTCGTCGCCCGCGACCCCATCTGCGACAAGTGCAACAAGGAGTTCGAGGACTGCCAGAAGGTACGGCCCCCTTTCCCCATCTCTTCCAGCGTGATTTGAACTAACGTGTTGGGTGGAAATAGACTTGGGTCTGTTGGATCAATCCGAGGATGTGTATCATTACTTGCCACAACGACGTTTGCCGTAACGACGCTGCGTGCAGGGAGCACTGTGGGTGGAAGTGCCCTTAGACTGGGGTTTGGGAGTGTTGGAGGCCATTGGCTCTAGGTTATTCTTGTTGGAAGAGGAATGAGACTAAGGCTTGTTAGCAAGGATGAAGTCCGAGGAAGCGGGATGTGGTGGATAGAGATCCTCAAATGTTGTTGTTGGGATATGTACTCATCCTTACCTACTACAGTTATCAACGCCCCTGACATGAAATCGCGTGAAAGGGCTCACTAGCCGTGCAACAATTTTACATTCTTACCCCACTGATCGTATCAAGCCTCTCATTCTTTCACTCTCAACATCCGTATATCGCCACGCAGATCAGTACTTCAGGTGATCCGCGAAGGTGCTTCAACCCGTTCGGCTGCCTAACCTGACTCTTTCAGCCCCGGGTATATATAAACCCCCAATCCACTGCTTCAAAAAAAAGTCCTTCTCCTCATCCACGCTCAACCCAATCCCCCCAACAACACAGCACCCCCCACCCACCTACCAACAATGCACTTCACAACCCCCCTCATCCTCGCCTTCGCGGCCCTCACCACAGCCACCCCCATCACCAACCCCGACGCCAGCCCCATCGCCGCCCCCATCGCCTTCCCCCAAGAGACCTTACCGCCCGTCCAAGTCCCCACCTGCGACCAGTGCAAAGACAACTTCGAGCACTGCCTTCGTGTAAGTTCGATTACCCTTTTCCCCAATCCCCACAATCCGCCGGGGAAGTATTGAACTAACTCGGGTGATTAATGATAATAGTCTTGGCCCTGCTGGTTCAACCCAGCTACTTGCGATACTACTTGCCGCGCTGATACTTGCAAGGCGAGCAACTACTTCTGCCGGGATAAGTGTGGGTGGAAGTGTCCTTAGGCTGGCTGGCGAGTCTGCGAGGCCGCTGGGAAGGGGCTGCTCTTAAGGTGGATTCGAAAAAGGTTCAGTCTAAGATGTTCGTCCGTGTTAGGCGGCGTATGGCGATGGAGTGACCTTTGTGATATGGGTATGGTTCATATCTTGGTCTCTTGATAAAAGGATGGCTGCTGCAGTTGGTAGATCTTTATCGAGGAATAAAACCAAGTCTTGTCAGCGAGATGAAACCATCGAGTGATAGTGCGTGCCAAATCCGATGACAAAATCTTAACCATATACACCGCGAGGCTTATACCTGTCGCACTACCCAGAGTCAGACGTAAATCACTCATGAACATCGAGCTCGAACCTGAGAAAATGGTAGAGCGAGTCTAGGTTCGCAAAGTGTTATCGTGTAGCCCGGTATCCGAGCTGGTTAGTGGTAATCTGGTCTGTCATACATGGCAAATCCGCAGACAGCAGAGCACCTAATATCATAACATCTTAAATTCACGTCCCCGTCCCCGTCCCCCCTTTCTTCCCTCCCCTTAAAAGCGGTAACCTAACCCTTCCAAAAACCATCCCCCCACCCCTCTGCATCTGTGCCACCGCATCCCCAAGTAACACCCGTATCGCCCCTTCCAGCCTCTTATCCTTCTTCCGCCGCATCCACAACAGCACTATACCCAGTATAAACACATCAACAGCGATGTGCTTGAAGCACGCCCACACCCATCTCCACACGCCTCTGAAAAGCTGATAGTGTACTGAATGAGCGAAAAGTCTTCTTGCTTCTAATTGTTCGCGTAGTGCCGCGACCTCCGCCGTCATCTTCATGAGCGATTGCTCAACGCGTTTCCTCCATTTCTGGTCTGCGACTGATTCTTTCGGGGAGCTGTCTTTCGCTACGCCGGCACCGGTTCCAGCAGCGGGGGCGGGTGTGCCGCCGAAACCGGGTATGGGCATCTGAATCGGTTTGCCCAGAACACCCATACCTCTATTCCGTGGCGCGGGTGTGGGCGTCTGGATAGGTATAGGTTCTGCGCGGATCAACTGCTGCAAATCGGTTTGTACGCCTGCGTCTTCGAGTTCGGGGGCGTTGTCGTCGTCGTCGGGGTAGGATGTAGGGTTATATTGACTATCAGGGGCGTCGACGAAGACCTCGCCTTCACGCTCGATTTCCGCTTCTTCTTCCTCGAGCTCTTCTTCGGATTGCGACATTGGTGATTTTACGCGGAGGGGTACGGCGCGGCGTTCGGGCTCGTTTCGAGGGCGGTCCAGGTCGTTGCTGATGTTCATGGCTGCGCGGCCGCTTTGGCCTAGTTCGTGCTGGGAGTAGCCGGGGGTTATGTGGTCGGAGGTACGTAGCGGCGAGGAGGAGGATGAGGAGGGCACGTTGGATTTGACTTGGTCCCAGACGAATTCTAGCTCCGCGACTAGTTCGCGGGAGTCGGGCGAGGGTGAGGCGTACTTGTGCATGGTGTCGATGAGGGTGGTGATGTAGCGGCGTTTGGCTTCGGTGCGGGAGAGGCCGTTCTGCTGTTTCCAAGCGTCCCTGGGAACGTCAGGTCCTGTTCATGTATGCCATGTATGCATTCCAATAGAGGTGTGAATGGTGCTATGCGCCAAGTGACATACCATTTCTCCCGTGCTCGTTGCGACTGGTCATCATTGCCTCTTGGACATTCCATTATACCGTCGACATCGCCCTCTGATTTGGTCAGCTCTGGTCGTAGCACAGTCCCCCTCCGCATCATTTCCCTCGAGGCAACGTACCCATGGCCTGCTTATATAGTCCATACAAGCGTAACCTGGTCGCAGACGGCGGTTTCTGCGACCCCGTCCGTATCTTATTGACGGTATTGAGCGCATGGCTAAAGACTCGATCTATATTCACCTCTATTAGCAAAAGTCCCTTCCATCCCATCTCACCCCAGATAAACCTACCAACCGAGTCCGACATTACGAGCGTGGATATCGCGCCCCCATAAACGGGGAGCGGCGCATTGATTGGTGTGGCGGTGCGTAAGAGTGCCTCGATAACAGGCACAAGGTATTCAGCCAGGCAGGAGCAAAAGACAAGGTAAAGTAGAACGGCGCAATGGATGGCGGACGGCGTGCATGATGCGATGACAATGCGGAGCCGTGTGGAGATGGCATTCGTTGTCGCGCGACCCTGGCGCTTTGGCCTCGGCTCTTCCGGAGCGGGCGCGCTTGCCATGTGGCAGTGCGGTCTGCCGCTGTTTCACGTGTCAACACACTTTGATTGGATTCACCGCACTTTGCTGTCTTGCTGATGTACTGTAACATTCTATCGTCCTTTTTTTCACGAATCATATCAAATGCGATAACAGCCTTACAATTGTTTGTGGCTGGAGCAGGGATCTGGTCGACAGATCGGGCAATGTTTTCCGCACGCGATTCCTGGACGAGATGAGATACATTGCGACGCAAGACTCGCTGACTCCCCGTGGCTCCTATTCACATCTGTCTCAAGTCTGAAATTACATCTCACAACAGCGTCTACCAGTTTGCTACCACTGGCTGCACGTCGCTCGTGAACGACCATACGCCCTGGGAGTTGACAGCATGAACAATCGCCTTCCTCGCTACATCCTGTCTACGCGTGGTAGTCGCAATCTGAGTCGAGGTTCCCTGGCATGACTATTAGTATCGCCCTTCGAAGACGCTTGACATCTGAACGAACTCACCTGTACGCGGGCACCCCTCACGTTCGTGTAGGGATTCCCAACTTCATCCGTACCAGTCGGATACTCCACAATGACGGAATACGCAGTCGCGCTGGATACCGGCGACCAGCTGACCTGGAAATCTCCGGCATCATTGCTCCTGCGCAGAGATACGCCTGCAACCTTTGCCGGACGCGAGACACCACTAACAGCGCGTATCTGCCCCGTTGTATAGCACCCATTTGACGTGCCAGAGGTGGTGTAGAACCGCCATGAGACAGGTGCCTGGCCGTTCTTACAAACACTGCTGAACTCGTGCACAGCTGTGAACGCCGAGTTTCCAGGATACTTAGTGAGGAAGTTGTTGCCAAGGTAGGGGTAGAAGGTATCGCTGACACCGAAGCTGTCGAAGTCGCGAAAGGGCTTCAATTCAGTGCGGCTTCCATCGGCGTATATGGCTTCGAATGCCCATTGCACTCCTACGTATCGGTCTTTGTTGAAGGTGAGTTGCGCAGTGCAGCTACCGAGGTTAAAGGCCTTGTAGTTGCTGGGAGCTACACTGCCGGTATACGGGTAGCTCCAGGATGTACTGCATTGCTGACGCGGTTCGAGAACAAGAGGCGATGCTGTGGTAGCGGTCGCTAGGAGCGTGGAAAGAGTTGCGAGAGAGAGCTTCATGATGGTCCTAACCAAACAAAGTGAACAACTATGGACACGTCAACTCGGAAAACAAGCGCCCTAAATACCACTCCTCCTCCACCCTCCCAATTGACATCACCAGCGGGTCCAATGCACCAAAACTCTACTTATACAACTAGACAAGTCTTGGATACTACATCACCCGCCCACGAGGAGCGCAACCCGCCATTTCATATAGCAGCCAAGACGGGCGTGTACAACTTTCAAGAGAATCCAAGGCGGACGGAGACAACACCCATGGGGGTATGCGGTTTAGCTGGTGATCATCTGCGGGCCGCGAGAAGCCTAGCTTTCTTGGCGCTGCAGGTCAATCTTCGTATTTGGTCTTGAGGCTTGGGGCTAGGCTGGGGTGATCTACATTCGGTACATGGGGGACTGAGACCATTTCTTGCTTCGACGTCTTCAATCCATCTCCCCCATCCTCTGCTTCTCCGTTCCACCTTCCCATTTCTCGATCATCTCAGGGAAACACTGCTTCAACAGCACATCTCCATACCCCTCAAATCTCGCTTCGACGTCCTTCAAAACCTCCACAACACTCCCCTCCCCCTTCATCACACCAACAGATCCCAGTTTCACGCCATCGACCTGTGGCACGCGCGGCATAGCAACGATAGCAAGGTTACTGATAGTACCACAGAACATGATAATCAGCATAGCAATCGCTGCATTATCTGAGAGCTGGGTGTACAGGAGTGCTTGGCTCAAGAAAGCGCCGGCGATGAGGATGATGGGTGATACACAGGGGTTTGAGGCGTTGGTGGATGTTGCGTGATGTGTGGTCATGCTTGCATCGTTGGTCGACGCCGTTGAGGAGGGCTGGATGATGTAGATGCGGCTGGGTGGGGAGTCGGTGTCGCGCATGAGTGCGTACGCGCTGTTCCGACTACGGTGGGTAAAGGAAGCGTTTTTCTGAGCAGTCCAGACGGGTAGGCTGGCTGTAGCTTCGATAAGCAAGATTGATATGCTGAGCAGCAGGAGTGGTGAGAGATCGCCGTAGTAGAACCAGAATGCGCCGGCAAGACAGAATTGGAGGATTGCGGTCATCAAGCTACCGCTCTGGAGTAAGTTCCTGAGGGAAGTGGAAGCGGAGGATATACCAGTGGGTTGGAGGATCTCGACGACAACCTCGCTATCCTGGTCAAACTTGTCATCGATGCTGGGCGGAACAGAGCGGGTTTCCAAACCGCGGAGTAGCCTCGCAACAGCAAACTCCTTGTTCGACCGTCTATTCCCCGTCTTCATGTCCAGGACCTGCACATCGCACTCCGGTTTCGGCATCACATCACCACTGCTAGACGTGACTGACGACAAGAGTGACAAGCTATAAGCCAGCCACCCGAAACCGAAACATGGAGACTCTGTCTTCGACATCGCAGTCGTGACAGCAAATGTCTTCTGAATGATTTCAGGGCCGAGTAGCGTGAGGACGATCGCCAGAGGTGGTATGCGTCCGGAGTCGCCGTCGCGGTGCTCGGATCCAGGGCCAGTGGGACTGAGGTAATAGGTTCCGACGTAGAGACCGATATAAGCGATGAGAATTGGGAACGACATCTTGACGTTGGAGGCACGGGTGTTGGTACTCGGGAGAGCTTTGATGTATGGGCAAGTGGCGGTGCACTTTTCGAGATCGATATTTGCCATGATTTTCTTCGCGGCTTCCGGGATTCGCGAATGGTTTTGTGACAAGTGTAATTTTGGGACTCTTGGTGAGAAAAGACCGATGGTTGGTGCGGAAAGTTGGGTTGTGCGCTCGCTCGGGGATTATCTGTAATTCGGAGAGCGACGGTGATTTGGTGAGAGTGAAGGCGTTCACCCAATGTCACCCGCGACGCTGTGAATATCTCTCCAGAACGATTCAATCTGTCGCTGGAGGTCGTTGAATGAGAAGAGCTTTCGCGTCTTGTTTTGAAATCAACATGATGACCAGGACATCGCGCGATCCAATCGGGGCAGGTGCGAGGCAGGAGCAAACGACACAGAACGCACGTGCGTCAGTGACTGCCGGGCGCGGTTGGACGAGGCTCACTGTGACGCAGCGGATAATTGCAGCAAATGTTTCTGAACGATTTCAGTGTCGCACTGTCACATGTCGGTGCAAGTGTGATTGCGTTGTAGCGGCGTGGCCCTATGGACATGCTTCAGTCTCGTGAGTTTAGCGGCCGCTCGCACCAATGGTAGACCCGTGAACGTATCCATCGAAACCCGTTCGAAGTCTTCGTAGGCCAGCATGTCTGATATCTCTGTGGTGAGCCTCGAAAGCTAAAGGCCTCTACTGTGTGACCACCCAAATTTCGCGATCCCACCACCCCAACACGACCAGAGGTCAACATTGCCGTCAAAGCCGCTTTCAACGAATTTGAGTGAGCGGATTTTGGCCTGGTGCGTGCTGCCTGGATCAATCTCCTTGACAGATTTCCCCGTCCAGATGTTGCTAATCCGGATCACTGTGCCCTCCGTTGTGTCTTGGGCTGCTGCTAGAAGTCCGAGTCTGGGGTGAACATCGATGTCCAGTTCCAGCTCGTCTCTGTTCAGGTGGGCAAAGGTCATGACTGGCTGCGACCAATTCTTGAAAGCTTTGTGGTTGAGCTTGCGGCGTTTGTGACTATCGCGATGAGTCGGATACAGATTCTGAAAGTACTCCTCGTTGTAGTGATGGTTGTCGTAATCGAACGTCTTTCGCGATGAGTTCCGAGATAAGCGAGGTGCGCGAATGTCGTATAGGAAAAGCGTGTCGTTAAGCCCAGAGCATATCAACCTAGTCTCCTCGTCGGCACGCTTGAGCTTTGAGATAGGCGCGGGATGTGTCAAGACGTGACTTGAGCCCCCTGATCTTGTGTCGTATAGTCGAATGGTTCCATCTCGACAGCCGAGCGCGACAGTAGTGTACGATATCCACTCCAAGGCTAGAAGATCCGATTCAAGTGACTTTACTACAGCTTGAGAGTCCCACGCACCTTCCTGTGAGCGAGTGAATAGCAGCATCGAACTTGAGGCTGCAACTGCGAGGTGCTCGGTCCATGTCGCTGCGACACTGTTTGCAAGACCTGGGGATGCCGTGAACGTAGTTGGTCTGGCAGCAGCCCCCCAAATAGCTGAACAGTCTTTCGGTGTAAATTTTTGCCCTACGTACTGTATCACTAGGGGTCAGCGCGAGAGTCTCGGAAGATGCAAAAGTCTTGCAACGTGACCGAAACGACGTCGGAGTGGGCAGAAAAGGCTCGTCTCTTCTGGGTTGTGCTACATCCGCTGGCTAACTCAAATCATTCGCTCTGAATGGAACATAGGCCTTCATCATCGAGGAGACTACGTGCTTGAGATTACAAGTTTGTGGAAGACTTACAGGATCATCGCGTCCCGGGTCGCTGAGCCATACTTCTGGCGGTCGATCAGACCCATATGTCGTTACCGCAAGCGCGCCGGTCGCCGGTAGAAAGGACAACGAGGAGACTGTAGATGTCGTTCGCGTTACCTCTTCTCGTGGATACCACGAGTAGATACTCTTTAGTGAAGACGACTTGGGTATGGAATAGTAATCCTCTGATGGGACGCTGGGACTCCTGCGATCTGCAGTCTGCCTGTGCACACTGTTCTCACCTTGGACTGTGTATATCGTGTGATGTACTGGGTCTTTGGCAAAGAGTCGGAGTCCACATGCAGGTAGCACCTTTTCGGGACGTTCTTGAATGCCGGCTGCGCATGCGTCAGGCCAAAGACCGTGGACATAGCGTGACCGTCTTCTAAGGCCGATTTCCCTATCGATGTTTGTCTGGGCGAAGCTGTTCGTGTTGCGCCTGACGACCCGCTCCTTTTTAAGCTTATTGGAATGCGCGAGGGCGACATTCTGGATGCGCTCTTTTCTTTCTGTCTTTTTGATGTTTGCTGAGGAGTATTTGAGATTTGATCCCTGAGCTGCGGTTTGGTTTTGGATCCGGAAATATTTCTTCTTCTCTGCGTCCCAGAAGTAGCCTGGGATTGGCTGGCCGTTCATCCTGCGATCGTGATAGTGTGGAGGCCAGCTTTCGTCTCAAATATTAAGGAGTGAAGGTTCGCGTTGCTGAATGAAGGATGTGCTGATTGGCGGAGATGTCGACGCGTCCGCGATTTAGCAGAAGAGAAACGCGCGAGTCAGGTACCGCGACGTTCTGATCTTTTCACGACTCCCTTATCGATAAGCCCGCTCGTCCGAGGCATGACGCCACTGCCCCATAACGTTCACATCACACTGATCAGCATCGAATGCGCCCATATGTGCCGCCATCTTCCCCTCATCGCCCCTTCCTCCTACACCACTTGATACCCTTAGCAGCTCATGCTTCGAATTTCCACTGCGCTGCAGCCTACTAGGAAAGCGATATCGTCGACGAAATACATCTGCAAGAACCCCTTCCACACTTTTATGCGCCTCAACCAAGTCATGGCGCACCTCGATATCCCACAGACAGCGAGCAGCTCGACCAATGAACTGCAGACGCTGCAGTCGCTTCCCAAATCGAACGTCTTCACATCCAACCTTCCCGCCGATGACGCGTTCCCCAGACCGAAAGATTCGCACGATGCGCCACGGCAGATGCTCGGACCGCGCATGGTCAAGGGAGCACTATACACATACGTTCGACCCGACTCACAGGGAGAGCCAGAGCTGTTAGCTGTCAGCCAGCGAGCAATGCAGGATATTGGCTTGAAGGAAGAGGAGGCCAAGACGGATGAATTCAAGGAAGTCGTCGCTGGAAAGAAGATCTTGACATGGGATGAGTCAAACCCAGAGGCTGGTATATACCCCTGGGCACAATGCTATGGAGGCTACCAGTTCGGACAATGGGCAGGCCAACTTGGTGATGGGCGCGCCATCTCACTGTTCGAGTCTACCAACCCAGCGACCGGAACACGATACGAGATCCAATTGAAGGGCGCTGGACGGACACCCTACTCCCGCTTTGCTGATGGCCGCGCAGTACTGCGATCTTCTATCCGAGAGTTCGTCGTTTCGGAATACCTCAATGCCATTGGCATCCCCAGTACAAGAGCGCTGGCGCTCACCCTGAACAATGGCAGTAAGGTCATGCGCGAACGCACAGAACCCGGAGCCATCGTCACACGATTCGCGCAGAGTTGGATCCGCTTCGGAACCTTCGACCTCCAACGCATCCGCGGAGACAGGAAAACCCTCCGCACAATCGCAGACTACACAGCCGAGCACGTCTACGGCGGCTGGGACAAGCTCCCCTCGAAGCTCCCCGCCGGCGAAGCTAAAGAAGTCCACAACCAGACCTCCACCGGCATCCCCAAAGAAACCGTCGAAGGCGAGAACGAAGGCGAAGAGAACCGCTACGTCCGCCTCTACCGCGCCATCCTCCGCCGCAACGCCGAAACCGTCGCAAAATGGCAAGCCTACGGCTTCATGAACGGCGTCCTAAACACAGACAACACCTCCATCCTCGGTCTATCCATCGACTTCGGTCCCTTTGCCTTCCTTGACACCTTCGACCCCACCTACACGCCCAACCACGACGACCACATGCTGCGTTACAGCTACCGCAACCAACCCACCATCATCTGGTGGAACCTCGTCCGTCTCGGTGAAGCCCTCGGCGAGCTCATGGGCGCCGGCAGCAAAGTCGACGAAGCCCAATTCGTCGAAAAAGGCGTAACAGAAGAAGAAGCAGACGGCATAGTCAAATGCGGCGAATCCGCCATCGACCGCGCAGGCGAGGAGTACAAAGCCGTTTTCCTCGCTGAGTACCGGCGTCTCATGACGCTTCGTCTTGGACTCAAAACGCAGAAGGAGAGTGATTTCGAGGATCTGATGTCTGAGTTGTTGGATACGCTGCAGATGTATGAGTTGGATTTCCACCACGCGTTCAGGCGGTTGGGGAATGTTAAGTTGAGTGAAGTGGAGACGGAGGATCAGAGGAAAGATGTTGCGGGCAGGTTCTTCCGTAGGAACGACGCGCCGAGACAGGAGAGCGATGGGCGGGAGCGCATTGGGAAGTGGTTGGAGAAATGGTCGCAGAGGGTGAAGGAGGATTGGGGGGAGGGGATGGATGCGGAGAGGAAGGTTGCTATGGATAAGGTTAATCCTAATGTAAGTCGCACTACACTTACTCACACGGATGGGAGTTTGTTACTAACGATACGACAGTTCATCCCCCGCTCCTGGATCCTAGACGAACTGATCGAGCGCGTCGAAAAGAAACACGAACGCGACATCCTACCTCAGATCATGAAACTCGCGCTTAACCCCTTCCAGGAAAGCTGGGAATGGAACGCAGAGGAGGAAGAGAGGTTCTGTGGTGATGTACCGAAGTACAAGGGTATGTTGCAGTGTAGCTGTAGTTCTTAGACGTCCTCTACATACACTTGGACAGGAGTTGGAGTGTACAAAATGGATTGAAGGCCTAGTCTACACCACCAACAAGATATTCGCCTACTTCCAGATTCACGCTTCGGCCCAGTGCGCGTGCATATTCCCAACCAAAGTTTACGCGCCATCGTCCTCCGCCTTCTAGTGCGTCATTACTTCCTGCTCCTCCGGCTCTTACAAGCAGTCTCATGCTCGTCAATGTAGCTATTTGTGTGTATAAATCCGCTACCTGCGGTACCGTTCCTTCAAGCAGCGCTCTGAATATCGCCAATAACCTGTCCAAAGTAAACGGGCTGGGCGTCAACAAATGTCGACTGATCTTCCGATGCTTAGCTCCTGTGCGCTTGCCCGTGACGCTGAAAGACGCAGCACTGGGTGCGCGCCGCTTGTTCTTCCGCTTATCGGTGTGCTTCATGAAGTATGTGACGTCGGTTCGTGAGGGGTTGTAGGACGCTAGGTACGCGGCGAGGAGGATGTGGGTTGTGAAGTATGGAAGGGTGTGCGCCGTCATGTTCGCTGGCTTCTTCTTGCTTGGCGTCGCTGGTGTGATGCCTGCCGGTGCTGCCTCTTTGATCGGTTCGGCGGTATCCGAGATGATTCGGTCGAGCACGGAGTCTTCAAGCTGGAACAGATGCCGTCTATTCACCATCAACCGCGAGAAGTCTCTTGTGCCGAACTGTCCTGATACCACAGGCTCGACGAACGGACGCCAGAGGCGCATTGCGCAGCTCTTGAAGCTTATCAAATCTCGTCCGGTGTGTTTCGCGAGGGAATCGTAGACGGCTTGGATGAAGCGGCCCCAGAGCCACTGGTCGTCTTCGGCTGCGAGATCGGGTGTGTAGTCTGGGAATTGTTCTAGGGAGGGCGGTTCGAGGAAGATCTTTGGTGGGTTGGCGCCGAGAATTGTGAGGAGTTCGCTGCGCGCGTAGGATGGGAAGTGCAGGAAGGAGGTCGATGATGAGTGGAGAACGGAGGGCGTGAGGGGGAGGGTCGTTGTGAGGATGAGGGAGAGGTTTGGTATCTGTTCGTACTATTAGTAACCTATGCCTTGATCTGTATGATGCATAACATACCATCTCTCCTAGCCTCCCAAGCGCAGCAATCAGAGTTCCACCCCCTTCCCTCAGTTTATCCACCGCATCGAGCACCAAGACAAACTTTCCCCTGCCCGTCAACAGCTTTTCCATGTTGACGCATAGCGCGCTTAGATTCTCTGTACGCGCGTAGGGTCTCCTATCAATCTTCTCGTCGTTAAACTCGTCCAGTGCATCCAGACTAGCTGCGACGATGCGCTCCAGGAGATGCCGCGCGGTTATGCATTCGCGAACGTTGATGATCGTGTGCTGTATGCGAGATAGATGGAAGAAGGAGCGCAATATCGAGGATTTGCCAGTTGCTGTGAGGCCATGGATGTTCAGGAAGGGTGGAGAGGGGAGATGCGCCTAGGTTGCTGTTAGTACAATGACCCTGAAGTCTGAGAGGTGTACGAACGCTATAGAGGGCTGCCAGGTGGTGTATTTGCTGATCACGGCATTGGAACTCCGCGGTTAGCTGGGCGATGATCTCGTCGGGCAACATTGTCGCGATGTTGTTCTGGATGTTTGTAACCACTGGCGGAAGGTTGAGGGAGTCGCGCTAGCTTGGCGCCGAACGCGAGCGCACGTGCATCGTCCGCGACTTCCAACTCCATGCTTCCACTCACATCCTCCGTCGTCATATCGCATACAAGGTAATGTACTCGACGCTCGCTTCCGCAAAGAAGGTCCGATCCATCTGCACGTAGATTGATCAACGAATGACAGCGCCGCCTCTACGTCACCCCGCGTATCGCCATGGGGGACGGCAAGTCCGCTGCCTGCAGCAGCAATGTGGCACAGCCTCGCCTCACATGCTCACTTGATCTGAGATGCGATGAACCCCGCACCTCGTCTTCCTCCTCGCACTGATCGCAGTACACTGAACATCATTCAAAGCTCACATGGAGACAGCTGCAAGCATCATAGCAGTGGTCCAACTGTGCGAGACGGTAATCAAGTATATCATTGCTGTTTCTGGAGCCAAACACGAGAAACAGCGCCTTCGTACACAGATACGAGACTGCAGTAGCTTGCTCAACAAGTTGCAAGATGAAACGAATGACCCTGAGAATGCCGAGGAATGGGAGAGAATCTTGAACCTACTTTCGACTCCGCTTGCGCACCTTCAAGATGCACTGCGTCTAGCAGCCGCTGCGTTGTCCCCACGAGATGGGTTGCGTGAGAATCTGCGGTGGCCATTCAAAGAGAAGGATGTCGAAAAAATGATTGAGGCAATAGAGTCTGGGATGTCGATGGTGACTCTTGCTCTCAATTACACCACAACATCGTTACTTGTCAAGATTAGCGCTTGCTCAAAGCGCAATGAAAAGCATCTCGCCGACCTGAAGAGTGCTTTGGATTCAAGCATCCGGGAAACCCACCTGACGCTGCGGAGCATCAACGGTGAGCTGGAATCTATCCAAACGACCCAAAATGACGTTCGAGGAAGAGTCGAGGAGCTGCATGGGCGTCAGGATATGGAGGAAGCTTTGAGGAAACGTCAACGCATCCTTGACTGGCTCACACCCATCGACCACGCTTCAGAGCAGCGGGACGCCATCAGTCGGCGGCAAAAAGGTACCGGTGAATGGCTGCTGCGCTCACAGACCTACCAAGACTGGCTCAGTACCGACAGTCGTACCTTGTTCTGCCCTGGTATTCCAGGTGCTGGCAAAACGGTCTTCGCGTCAATCATCAACGCTGATCTTTGGGAGCGTTATCATGATGACCCTACGGTTGGCTTGGCTCATCTTTTCTGCAACTACCGGCGTCATAACGAGCAGACATTAGAAGCCCTACTATCAGGTCTACTGAAACAGCTTGTCCAACATCAAGTTCCGTTACCAGAGTGCGTCACCAGTCTTTACGACACACAACAAAAAGGGGCTTCGGATCGGATCGAAGCTACTACGGAGGCTCTCAGGTCAGCAATGGCAACATACTCACGAGTATTCATCGTACTAGATGCTCTCGACGAATGCTCTACATCTCAAGGCTGCCGCACAAGGCTGCTGTCAAGTATCCAGAACTTGCAAAAGCATGGTCACATCAACATACTTGCCACATCTCGATTCATACCAGAGATCACCGAGAAGTTCAAAACAGCCTGTGAGCTGGAAATTCAAGCAGACAGCAACGACGTGCGAGAATACCTCTCTGACAATATATATCGCCTACCAGGTTTTGTGCAAGATAATGTCAGCTTGCAGGAAGAAGTTGTGTCCAAGATCGTTGAGGCAGTGCGCGGAATGTATGTCGCTTCCTCCTAGGGTTCTAGATCCACTAATGAGTCGTCAGGTTTCTCTTAGCCAAGTTGCACCTTGATTCTCTGATCGGGAAAAGATCCGCGAAAAAGGTGAAACTCGCCTTGAACGAACTTGCTACTGGATCTGATGCTTACGACTCTGCGTATGATTCTGCCGTGAAAAGAATCAACGGCCAAGTCCCTGACCAGGCGGAGCTCGCCAAGCAAGCATTGGCGTTTCTTACCTGCGCCCGAGCATCAGTCTCTACAGAAGCGCTAAGAGACGCTCTGGCCGTGGAGATTGGTGAACCGGATATGGACCAAGAAAACTACCCAGACATCGAAGACGTGTTAGCTTCGTGTCTTGGTTTAGTTACAGTAGACGAGGATTGTGGAATCATCCGACTCGTCCACTACACGACACAAGAGTACCTTCAGCGCACCTTGGATCGATGGTTTCCGGATGCGCAAGCCATGATAGCAAGTACCTGCGTCTCCTACCTATCTTTAGATCGATACGCCGACCTCAACAACTTGGACCCCTCAGAAGACTGTGAATGGTACATATACTCGGCACGTCATTGGATCGACCACGCTCGCCTTGCGCCGTCAAGTCTGACACAAGTGGTCAGCTTTCTCACGCGGCAAGCCAATGTCATCAAGAGTTTCTTCTATACATACCCATGGGTATCAGCAAAACACGTCTTCGAACGAGAACATGTTGTGACTCAACATCCTCACGTCACTGGGCTTCATGTAGCGGTTATGTCTCAGCTAGAAGCTACTACTGCGGCGCTGCTCCAGCAAGGTTTCGATGTACATGCAAGAGATAGGCTAGGTCGAACCCCTCTAATCGTTGCTGCACAACCCGGACGCGAAGCTATCGTAGAGCTCTTACTCAAGTATGACTCCTCTCTGGACTTGAAGACAGACAATTTCGACGATACCGATAGTCAGGATTATGATGCCATCCATCCAGGGTCAACTGCGTTGCACTTCGCGTCGAGGAACGGGTCTGTCAGCACTGTCAGAGCTCTCCTCGCTCATGGTGCCACGGTGGACTCGAAAGACGCTAGAAATGCAACGCCTCTACATCATGCTATCATAAATGGCCAGACAGAGGTTGTAAGGGTGTTAATCAACGCCAACGCTAACTTGTCATCGACTGTCTGGTCAGCGACATACCGGTTTCTGCGGCAAGATGGATTCAAGGGTTACTTGGAACCCCTGTCGCGAAAGACACTACTGGCGACAGCAGTCGAATCCGAGTCCGTCGAAATGGTTAGTTTACTCATTGAGGCTGGGGTAGACGTCAATGAGCACGGGGACCATTGCGCACCAGCCTTAATCCACGCCGTGTCCCGACTACAGGGCACTGCAATGGTTGAAGTATTACTCAAAGCTGGTGCGAATCCCAACCTCACCGGCTGGCGAGGGGCATCACCACTCATGGAAGCATGTGGGCGTAGGTACCGGTTCGATCGTATTGATGTTGCCAAACTCTTGCTTGACGCAGGAGCCGAGATCAATCACACCACAGCAGACTTTCCCATTCGGTCCGCGTTAGCAGGCGCCCATTGGGAAGGAAAACCTAAGATTATACAGTATCTTGTCGAACGCGGTGCCGACCTAAAGCTTGGGCTGCGTTACGATACACTAACGACCTACACGCATAAAAAAGCACCAAGACAATACTACATGTCGGACGAATACGTCCAAGAGCAAATGTTAAAGTACCCACTTGGTGGCCCTGTTAGTAATGGCAGCACTTAGCTCTTGTTATGGTCGTATTCCCCGTCGACGGCTAAGAAGATCAACGAGAAGGCACCATCTGCTCCTGAAGCAGGCAGTTAAGGATCTTCAAATATAGCTTCATCAGCCGTTGACAGTTGAGCAAATAGTTCAGCCCGACTAGCTACCTGCGTCCATCTAGAATGATTTTCTTCAACCCCCTATGCGTGATGTGGCTGCGCTCGTGACAAAGCGACCCAAGGTAGAGCTTTACCTTCTAAATAGAAGGTTACGATACTAGAGCACAATCTCAATGACCAGCCCGAACCAGTAACAGACCGCAGTCTTGAGTAAAAGTCGCACTCTATTCATCTGAAACTTGCAATACAAAAAACATGCAAAATATAAATACTACTTCGTCATCAATCAAACAGACAATGTGAAGTCTTAATTACGGCTATCATAACTAAGATAACACAGGATGAAAACATGATTTTATTAGCAAGAACCAATAGACTCCAAACAAATAGATAAGCCATCTGAAACAGAAGGTTGTGACACGCAAAATGCGCTTCTGCAGCTATTTATTCTCAGGCCTCGCTGTCGGCAACCCTAGCAATGATGCGTTTCGAAGCGCGACTCAAGATGCGCGGGTTCAGCACCTCAAAAAGATGAAAACACCCGTATAACGATCATTTTCAATGACGTTACAGCTGTATGAAAGGACACCATGTATTCAGTCCAGCACAGTAAAGCGATGATCTATCTATGGCAAGCGGATTGTAGCAACCGCAGGTTCAATCACATTAAGAAATGTCACGCATTCCGAGTGTGGTGACGAGCGAAATCATATGTGAACGTTCCATTCCATTTGCTATCGTACAGATGCTTCCTTCCTAACCCCGTATTCACGTTACTCATGTTGGTATAATCATCCCCTATAATCCCATCCCCATCGACAGTGTTAATCCAATACGCCGTGTCTATGCTTTGTATCCAATGCAGGTCAAGCGTGATGGCACGCGTTTATGCATGCAGTGTCTCCTTGAAGCCACTGTCCGCATCCGCAGTCTTGCCGTCCTCGTTGAACTCCCAGGCCAGGAACTTCCAGTTGAGCTCGCTCGGTCGCCAGAAGAGGCCTTTCTTCAGTCCGCTGCCCGCTGAGGAAGAGTCGCCCGGTCCGTCTGCTGTTATGCCGCCGGTGTGAGGCATGCGCTTGCCGAAGATGCAGCGCCGGAAGCGCGAGTGTAGGATGGCCATAGAGCACATGACGCAGGGCTCGTTGGTGAGGTAGATGTCGAGATCTACGCACAGGTAGCCGCTGGATGAGAGGTTGTCCTTTTCGTAGTATAGCTTCTCGAGACCGGTGAGGGGGTTGTCGCAGAAGAGGGAGCGGTCGAGGAGTGCAGGGTCGGTGCCGGCAGCACGCAGCCGCTTCTTCGCAACCATGGCGATGGCGCGGTGGACAGCGTGAGCCATGACATTGCCAGTGCCGGTGGGCGGTTCAGCGGTGCCGGTGAAAGACCTCCAGCGGCAGTCGCCTGCAACCGCGACGATCTCTGGCTGGTTCCTGGTGCGGTCAACCACGACGACGCCGATCTTCTCACCCAGACACTGATCCGATATCTGCTGGCCGGCCGCTCGGGCGAGAGCCAGCCAGTTGCCTGCCTCGGGTTGTAGTTCCTCCTGGTTGCGTTGTACGAGGCTCGGATGGGGGCCGTAGGGGTTGGTGTTCTTGTACGAGATGGGCCAGTACTTGTCGCTCCAGTCGTCAGCCTGCTGCTGGGAGATGGGCGCCAGGGCCGGCACGGTTACGTAGAGGATCCGAGGGAGCGCAGTCTTGGGGCCGTCGAAAGGCGGGCAGGTCCGTATCAGAGCCGCGAGGTTGGCGTGGGGCATATGGCGCGTGGGACACAGCAGGAAGTAGCGGACTAGATCAAAATCTTTAGCATCAGCCTCTCCATGAGCAGCCTCACTGCCAGCATCGACTGAGGACGGGGACGCGGAAAGGGAAGCGGGGGTCGCCGGTGTTAGTGGGGAAGATGGTAGTTCTGAGGCAGGAGCATCTTCGTTACCCCTGGGGAGCCTTGCAGGCGGATAGAACTGTTTCTGCAGGTGCGGCGGCAGGTACTTGAACTGCACCACGCGGCGCAGGTGAGAGATCTCCGACGTCTTGAAGTCGGGCAACGCTGCTTGCACGGCACTGCGAGCGGGCGACGTTAGCAGAGATCAAGCGGGTGCCCCACGAGTGAAGGCCTCACTCCTTGATAACGTTGGCAAACTTGGCCGGCACCTCGACGACATAGACGGTGTGCGTCTCCAGGCTGGCGCGCACCTCGTCCTTGGTGCGGAGGGGGACCAGATGGCCTGCGAGAGGCGGTGGGCTGCTCATAGCATCGCCTGGTGGGGGAGTCAGTGCTGAGGGCAGCTAAAAGGCTACTATGCGTCGTATAGGCGTTGGCTAAGAGGCTGGCGGTGGGATGTTGGTAAGTCGGAGCGTGAAGCCTGCGCAAAGACAACAAAAGTCTCAGGGTCCAGCGGGGCGAGCCTGCTTAACTCCGGTTGACCCTTCCTCTTTCATCCAACATCACCTCCTCGCTCCTCACCAGCCCTCATCACGTAGCAGCAACATGTCGCGACGAACCTCACCCATGGAGTGAAAAGGAAAGGGTAGGAGGTGTCTCGGGGTAAGGCGCGCAGCTCCCGACTCATGGGCGCGCCTCCCCGCATCACGTTGCAGCGAAGGAGCGCCAATCTTCACCCAATATGGGGCCCCGCATCATCTCCTCCCGATGATTCGGTAAACATCATCCAAACGCCTCTTGAGAGGACCTCAACCCCAGCATCCAAATCTGCCGATATGCATGGCGTTGTAGCTCAAGCCCGCTACCGCTCATCCCGTTGTCAGAATGCCCCGGCCAAGAGCCCACGGCATGGTGCCCCACTGCAGTATATGTGTAGTGATATGAGATGCAGGCCTCGCCCGTCTTGTCTTCATTCTCGATCCAACTTGTCGTCTGGATAAGGCAGTCATGGACAGCAAGACGGGAGCTACCCATATCGAAACCGCCCACGGTCGCGACGCCCACATCGTGTCCATCGACCAGGAAGCCAATGAGGACGTCCATCATGTCAAGCTGTCATGGAGGTCCTGGATGGTCGTCTTCTGCTGTTGCTTCGCGTACGTTGCGCGCAACCCTTTTCAGGACCTTGCTGACTCCCAATGTAGCGTCATGTCTCAAGTTTTTGTGGTAGTGGCTGCAGGATCAGTACTGTCGTTCATCATCCGCGAGCTTGGAGAACCTGCAATTGCAAGCTGGATCATTCAGGTACAGCAGACCTAAGAAAAGACTTTAACACCGAATTCTGATACTCTATAGGGCCCACTCCTCATGCAATCAGTTCTCTCACCTCCCGTCGGTCGCCTGTCTGATGTCTTGGATCGCAAGCTTTTCGCCACCATACCTCCACTGATCGCATGCATTGGTTCCATCATCTGCGCCAAAGCTACGAGCATGTCTATGTTGATTGGAGGCGGTATCCTCATCGGCACGACACTTGCAACCATCTCCATCGTCCAGTCTATCCCATCCGAAATTCTGCCTTTGAAGTATCGACCTCTAGCGAACGGACTTGCAGGCGTTGCCGGCGTATTGGGCGGAACGTAAGTAGACACTTCCCGTGGGTAGATGCATTTGACACGTAATAACTCTGCGCAGTGTCGGTAGTCTAGCAGCCGGTGCAGTTACCAACCTAAGTGCTTCCGGCTGGCGCTACATCTTCTGGATCCAAGTCGGCCTACACGGCATCACATCGCTTGGTCTATTCGCATTCTACTGGCCAAAGAAACGCACTGACTATCCACGTATGGGCTACAAAGAGTGGATGTGGGCTTGCGACCCCGTTGGCTCCCTTCTTCTCGTTGCTGCTGCTACCTTGATGCTTTTGGCGCTCAACTGGGCAGGAGGCGCGTACCCGTGGAGCAACCCGCATGTATGCGCCAACCTAGTTGTTGGCATTGTTCTCTTCATCGCCTTTTGTCTCTATGGTAAACTACCCTTAGGTACCTTAAGTTTGAGTCAAAAGCTGACATGGTACAGAATGGAAGGGCCGGTCTGATGGCATCGTCGCCCACGTCTTCTTCTCCACTGGACCGAACTTCTGGCTGTCGACTTTCGCCTTTGCTATCGAGGGATGGATCTACTATTCTGCCATCAACGCCGTTACACCCCAGCTAATCTTGAACGTTGGATTCGAAGACAACGCATGGGATATTGCCATCCGGCAACTGTCCTACAAGATCGCATCGATCTTCACTTCGCTAGCGGTAACGTGGTATGCGACGAGGTTCAAAGACATGAGTAAGATACACTGCATTCTTCTTCACACCCTCCACTAACATCCCCCCAGAAACCCCTCTAGCAGCCACCTTCGCCATCATGTTCATAGCCTCAATCTGCTTCGCATTCATCCGCCCCGGCTGGGCCACCGAACAAATCATCTTCACCGCTCTAACAGGTATCGGCTGCGCAGGCCCCCTCACACTTCTAGTCGCATGCATCCAATTCACAGCCCCCCACGCCTTCCTCTCCACCGCCACCGGCCTCGCCTTCTCCGCACGAGCCATCGGTGGCGCTTTCGGCACTGCCGTCATCTACGCCATCGTAAACTCGCGCGTCGCTTCTCACCTTGCTGGCGACGTCAGCTCTGCCGCTATCGCTGCGGGTTTACCCGAGTCTTCTGTGCCTGCGCTTCTTAAAGGTATGAAAGGGAGCTCGGCGTCTAAGTTCAGAGGCGCGGGTGTACCCGGTGTGAATGAAACTATCATCACGGCTGCATGGAACGCAAGCCATTGGTCGTATGCGCGTGCGTATAGACTGGGTTACTGGAGCGTAGTGCCGTTCGTTGCGCTCGCGACCATTGCTGTGCTTTCGATGAAGGGTATCAAACATCTCATGACCGAGCATGTCGAAGCGACTGTTGAGCGGGAAAGCGATGACGAAGGGAAGGGGTTGGGTAAAGCTTAGATGACCAAGACGCTG